TATGAATAAATGAATCAGGGGAGAACAGAAGAAGAGGAGAGAGATGGTAAATTCTGTTTTGCCAAGCCTTTCCTCACCTACCCTCTGATGAACTCCTTTTTATTTCCAAAGACATCATGTTTGTCTCCTGGTTGCTTTCATTCTTCCTTAGGTTACAACTTTGATAACTATACCAACCCTGAAGATTTCTTCCTGGATGTCATTTATGAAGTCTCAACTACTGTGGAATCAGAAAACATGGAAGAAGACCACAAATGTATGTGATTCTGTAAGATTCACAGTGTTTTACCTATTCATATTGGCTGACACATAGCAATATGATAATTCACAGAAGAAAGCTTTGTAAATTCATGTGAATGTGGTTCGCTCGCTCTCTTTCTTTCTTTCTTTCTTCCTTCCTTTCTTCCTTCCTTTCTTTCTTTCTTTCTTTCTTTCTTTCTTTCTTTCTTTCTTTCTTTCTTTCTTTCTTTCTTTCTGCTAGAGCTGAAACAGAGGGCCTTTAGATGCTAGGTAAGCTTTCTACCACTGAGCTATATTACTTTCTGCATTTTAAAATCTCATTTGAGACATGACAAAGGCTGGCCTGAAGCCTGAAGCCTGAAGCCTTCCTAGTTACCAGGATATCATCTGTTGCATGACACTTAGTTTGAAGTAGTTCTGATTCTATTGAGCAGACACAGAATTGTCCATTTTCACTACTGGAGTTTTGACTACTTTACAGTGAACATTTATAAATTACTATTGGTTCTAAGAAAATTTTCCATAAAAATAAATATGTTTCTTTGTTTTTTTTTTTGTGGATAAATGGGTATTGAAACCATTTAACTATATCCCTGGTCCTAATTTGTTTATTATCTATTTATCTTTGAAGAAGGTTCTGATAAATTGTGCTCAAACTTGGGATACTCTTGCTTCCAAAGAATGTGCATTCTTATATTATTTTTAAAATAAGAAACTTGATACTTTAGGCTCTTCATATAAAAAATTCAAGGAAATAAATGTAGGGTAAGACATATTTTAAGAATTAGAGTTAAAATAAGAAAGGGTGATCCTGGTTAGTGTATTGATAAGATTACGAGGGGCTGGGGAGATGGCTCAGTAGAATAAGTGCTTGCTTGGCAAGCCCAAGTGTCTGAGTTCAATCCCTGGTTCCACCAAAAAAAAAAATAAAAAAAAAAACATTATGGCACTAGTGATGTGTGACATTTTAATATATAAAACCATGACAAAGCAATTAAGTTTTTTATTGACAAGCTTTAGAATTGAGGTATGATACAAAAAATCACAATGAAATGTATTTGATCATTTGATCATCATGTTGTTTGTGTTACTGTTTCCTTTCTTCATCCACTTTTATAAAGCTGAGAAGATAGAAGAGTTTCCTGGGAGAGATGAGCCACTCATACAAAACTTAGCTGCATTATATGATAGCTCCTGCTATTATCAAGGTATAAAAGCTGAACTGGATCAACTCTCAGATGGTCAGAAGAAGAGCTTAGCTTTCAAGGAGTCCACTTATGCTACCTCCTTTTGGCACCAATTCAGATGGATTAGCTGGCGCTCATTGAAAAACTTCCTGGGTGATCGCAAAACCTCTATAGCTCAGGTAACCTGAAAAATGCTTTTCACTGTGCAGTGAAATAGTTATGTTAGAGCAATGTGGTTCTGATGTATTTGTTTCTGGGATTGTTTATCTTCTACCTACCCTTCTATTTATTTGTCATCCCCACTCCATCTAAGCTATAGAAACAATCAATGGAACAAAAAAGATACTTAAATTTTTAACTCCTGAAAGTTTTTCTTAGAATACTGCAGAACATTTCAGACAAACTGTCTGAAATCTAACTAGAAATTTAATTTTTCTTCAAAATTTGTAAACTAATGAAAATACCACTTAATTTGAGTTTTTCTAAAAGGTGTCTACTTTCGTTCATTGATTCATTGCACTGCTTCACTACAAGGTCTTATTACTGTATGGGAAGTCTAATAAGATAGCAAATAGCATGGGTGGAAATGAAAATCTCTGCTTTCATAGAATTTCTTATAAGGGCAGAATACTATAATTGGGTAGAAATAAACATTGTCTATTAAATGCTAGAAGCAACTGTATAGAAAGTTTGAGCAGAGAAGGAGTGCACAAGGAGGCAGAGAAGGAAGGAGATCAAGAGAAGGGTTTGGTTTGCAGTTGAAATCAAGCAGTGAGAAAACCCAGTGCCTGTGAATTGACCTGAAGGTTGTGAAGGCTGTGCATTTTCTGGGGGAAGAGGCTTTGATTTTCATAGATCATCATTTTGTCTTCCTATTCTGTCTGCTTCATTGCCAAAAACATCTTTTAAAAATTACTTTATGTCATAGAAATTAAAATTACTTTATGTTAAAATATTGTTATAATGAGATTTAAATTTTTTATTATATATTGTATTTCTAAGATATATACTAGGATAGTTTCCTTTTTTGATTTTTTTGTATTTAATACACAAATAACTGTAAGTAAAATTGCTCTATTGGTCTTAGTCATGTAGACTTCATTTTGCTCACACAAGGACCCCTCCAGGTGTCTGCATTGCTCTTTTTACCCTTCATGGCATTCATAAATGCAGCACCTGATCTGTACCTTCATCCGGCAGTGCCTGGAAGGACACTGGGAGGAACTGTACCTTTCCCAGTCATGAACTTTGTTCTGGCACTTCCTTAAACAATTCATAATTTTCCAGTATCATTAAGAAAAATGATTTTAAATAAAATATACTTTATTGTTTTAAAAACTTATTTGTTTATTTATTTATTTGGTACAGTGTCTTGCTACTGAGGTCAGACTCATAGTGATCCCATGTATTAGCCTCCACAGTGCTGGGAATGCAGGCATGCACCACCACATCTGGTTTTGGTAGCTGGCTCTACATGCCTGGGGTTCTGGGGCTGACACGGAATGAGATAACAGGGATTGAACCTGGGTCCTTGCACTTGCCAAGCATGCACTTAAGCTGTTGGAGCTATTTCCCTACCCCTATACTTTATGTTTTTCAAGGTGCTTTGATCAAGCCATTGAACATGTTTGGCACAGTGTAGATATTTGATTATGTAGAGATATGTTGATATATATAGATATATATCTCCTAATAGTGAATAATGTGCAAATATTTTTCCTTGTAATTGAAAGTCTTTCCTTTATATTTCTGTTTGAAAAGATCATTCCCCCAGTTATAGAGGGACTGATTATGGGTGCCTATTACCTTGGGATAAAAAATGATTGCACTACAATCCAAAATAGGTAAGTAATTTTTTGTCTTGATTTGAGAAAGTGCTGTTATGTTATTTATGTTCTTATCTGTTAAAAATTTGAATTTAAAAGAAGTACAGTATAAATGTGATAGGTCAGATTATGCATGAAAACTTAGTGAAATTTTATTTTATTTGTCTCATGTATATTTGTTTGTATTTAGTATCAAACTATGCACAACATAAATTTTCCATTTTTAACCATGTTAAGTATGTGGTTCGGTAGCATCAAGTGTGCTCACATTGTATAGCTATTGGCATCATCCACTTCCAACACTGCTTTTCATCATCTCAAAATGTATCTGCATGTCTGTTAAACAGTAATTCCTCATAACAGCCTCTCACAGCTCCGGTTAATATCTCCTATATCTTCCTCAGTTTGACTACTGAAGAAACCTCATATACATAGAAACATAATATTTAGTGAATGTACTTGTTTGTGTGCGTGCGTGCGTGCGCGTATGTGTGTTTGTATGTGTGTTTCAGTGAATCTGTTTTCCTTTTGGACAAAATTCTCAAGGTTAATCAAAGTTTTAACTTTTCTCTGAATTTTATTTCTTCATAAAACTAAGAACGGTCTGCTGTGCTAGGCTAGAATTTAGCCACTAGCAGAACTGGAGACAGGTGGCTTGTGTCTATATGAAAAGCGAGATGACACGATACTGTTTTTCCTTTGATTTCTTAATGATTA